CCAAGGAAGAGGTGGCTACTTTTATCTCTTATTCAAGTCGCAAAAATCCCTAATTAAACTATCTTTGAGTACCTATTGCTTTGAATCATTTGAATGTGACATTATCATATCACCTCTATTGTTTACAAGGAAAGTGCATTGTGCTTTCTTAATTGATGGATTAGTTAAAAATTCCATTTGAAAGTCATCCATCATATGAAGAACTGTGTCTTTCAGTTAATCATATCATATATTTTTTTAAATCACCTAGCTTCAAGATAGTCATATTATTTTCCCACCCTATCGAATAAAAATCATTGTTTGATCAAGATATCATATTTGTTTCAAAGTCCCTTGTGGTAGTAAAGTCCTTAGACCTGTTTACGGGCCGGGCTTCGAGCCTGACTTTACACTATGTCAGGCTTGGGCTTTTGGCCGGGCCCATTTAAAATTTGGCAAAAGCTAAGCCCGAGCCTGGCCCATGAACATGTCTAAAAGTCCTTTATAGCACCAAAGTCTTTCACGACAGAATATCAATATTTTGTGGATAATTACATAGCATGCCTTTTGTTGATTTGCATCATGACCTAATGCACATTAGACATGGAAATTATCTGTTTCAATCATTAACTACTCATCTGAATTAAATTAGTTTCAAAGTTCCTTGTGGCATTAAAGTCCTTCATGACACCAAAGTCTTTCGCAGCAAAATATCAATATTTTGTAGATAATTACATAACATGCCTTTTATTGATTTGCATCGTGGCTTAATGCACATTAAACATGGAAATTATCTATTTCAATCATTAACTACTTATCTGAATTAAATATGTTTCAAAGTCCCTCACGATATCAATGTCCGTTGTGGCATTAAGGTCTGTTACAACATTAAAATCCTTCATGGCRCCAAAGTCCTTCGCAGCARAATATCAATGTTTTATGGATAATTGCATCATGGCATAAAATGACATTTTTTTATTTGCTTCGTGACATAATGCTTCCTAGATATGGAAATCATTATTGCTTTAATTAAAGATCATCGCCTCATCAAGTTTTATTCAAAAATCATTCATCTAAGTTAAATCTGTTTCAAAGTCCCTCACGGCATCAAAGTCCCTTATGGTATTAAAGTCTATTATGAAATTAAAGTCCTTCATGGTAGCAAAATCCCTTGTGGCATCAAAGTCTTTTAAGGCATTAAAGTCCCTCGTGGTGGAAAAATCAATATCAGTTCCTCTCCTTTAAGCATAAAAATATCAACATTTAATTATAAATCACCAACTTCTCATTTGAATTGTATATTTTCTAAAGTCCGTTGTGGCATCAAATTCCGTCATGGCAATAAAGTCCGTTATGGCATAAAAGTCCTTCATGGCAGCAGGGTCCCTTGTGGCATCAAAGCCCTTCAAGGCATTAAAGTCCCTCATGGCAGAAAAATCAATATTAGTTCGTCTCCTTTCAACACATAAATCATTTCATTCAATTAGAAATCATTAATTGCTCATTTGAATTATATCTACTTCAAAGTCTGTTCCGACACTAAAGTCCCTTGTAGCAACAAAGTCCCTTGTGGAGAAGAAATTAATATTGTAACATGCTTCTCGTTGATTTTCTAGCATACGTTAGATTATTGATTGTATCATGGCATAACACACATTTTGTCATCATTAGTGTTTTTATTTCTAATTGCAACACATGTCATAACTAAAAAAATGATGATGAAAATGAAAATGAAAAATAAAAATGATGATAATGAGAACTTGATAACAGGTCCTTCACCACCTTTTAAGCATGTGGCAACATGTCTAGAAATCTCATAACCTTTGATGATCTCACTATTGTGTTAAAATTCCCCATCATCCACCAAGAAGAACAAAGGAAAATAAGAACTCAAGACATTATAYTAATCATGCATTATTATCTTGATGAATACTATCGTGCAATTCAAAGCACAACACATTGCACCATCATTGGATTTATCAAGTGTTTCATTGAAATTTCGAACATAGACTGCTCTTACATGGAAGGATGTCTATTGCTTGACCAAAGAGCAGTTACGCTATATTAACTATGAGATCTTTGTCACGTTTTGAAAATGTTTTACTATACCTTTTAAGATATTTTCTAAAGAATATTTGCATTTGCTTTTTCGATTGTGCTTTGCGATAAGCTTAAATATCCTGTTTCAAGTTTCTTTCAATGTTGTGTTTTACTTGCTTTGTGTGGTTTCTTTGTGACAAATGTATCCTGATTCCATAAAATTTTTGATACTTAGGAGTGGTCACATTGCAAAGAGTAAATTGTTTTCACACTATGAGCTTCTTTTGTTGTTTTTCTTTATGGAAAATTTACCATGATTCCGAARGTTCTTAATAATTAAGGAATAGTCACTTTGCCAAGAATAAAATGGCATGTACATGATGGAACGATGCAACACGAGAACCTTTCTCCTTCACAACAATCCACCTTCCTTATCTTTTCTTTTTCTCACCCTTCTTCCAARCTTACCCTTTGCAAAAATCCTTGTGCTTCTTTTGTCTTTGTTGTTTCATAGTTTCCTACCTCACAACAAATAGGGGTAGTTGTTAGCACCCGATTTTTGCTCAGCTCACCACCTGAACCTCCAGTTTCCCCCAAACACCTGATCAAACTCTTTTGATCCCTTTGAAATGGCCAAAAACCCAAATCTCAACCCCCAAATCCATAAAATCCATTGTTGAACCCACATAATACCCTTAAAGCCTAAAAACACCCCTTCTCTCTAAATTCCCAAAATACCCTTAACCAAATTACCAAAATACCCTTGCTTAGATTCCAAAATAACCCTTAGCTAAATTACCTAAATACCCCCTTCTTCCAAATTACCAAAATACCCCTTAACCAAATTACCAAAATACCCCTCACCCAAATTACCAAATCATCCCCTGTACCAAATTCCCAAAGTGACCCCATGCCAAATTACCAAAATACTCTTCATGGTGAATACCTAAAAACTACCCTCTTTTCAATTCAACAAAACTACCTCTCATGCCAAATGACCAAAATGCCCTCCATTCCAAATCCCTAACAATACTCCTCTCCCAAATTCCAAAAATGCCCCTTATCCCCTAATTTCCCAAAATACCCTTAACCAAATTTTCTAAAATACCCCTTCCTACAAATTCCTAAAATACTCCTTGACCAAATTATCAAAATACCCCTTCCTCTAAATTCTTAAAATACCCCTTGACCAAAACACCAAAATCCCCCTCCCTCTAAATTGCCAAAATACCCCTCAAACCAAACTCCCAAAGTACTTTCCATTCCAAAATATCAAAATACCCTTCATTCTCCAAATACCCCTCTAAACCTTTTTGTTCAAACCCTAGATTACCCCAATCACCCTCATGATACCTAATTTACCAAATTCCCCTTCACCCAAAAATTTCCAAGTATTCTCCATCCCAAATTCCCAAAATACCCTTCAGACCTTAAATTACCAAAATACCCTTTTTGAACCTGAATCAGCTAAACACCACCTCTAGCTTGTATCACCCCCCCTCCAAAACCTAATTTACCAAATCAGCTCCCCTCTTTTTGCTATAAGTTTATTAGCCTCCCTTTCCTCCCATTATAAGAAGAGGCTCGGTAGATGAGGGGAGGGGGGAGCTCTCTCATTGTTTTCCTTTTGAAGGGTTGTCGAGCTAAGAATTCAGAGAGAGGGAGGGAGAGTTAAGATGAGAAGAGGTCGAAAGAGGTCGGACAGGTGGAGTTTGAAGAGGAGGTAAGATGAGAGAAGATTTGAGAGGGAGAGTAAGCGAAGAAAAGAAGTCTAGAAAGGGATCGTTGAGCTAGAACGGTTTCAGAGAGAGAGAGAGAGAGTTTGAGAGAAATTGAGGGAGAGAAAAGAGGGAGAAACAAATTGAGGCTGGCTCGAGGGAGAAGAAAACCCTGGCCAATGGTTCAGTCTTTGCTTTCTTGTCAAATTCCAGAAAAAGATCTCGTCGATTGAAAGGTTTAGCAAGAGAAGGAATCATTCTCTTCTCCATTTTTTTTCTTTGCAATATATCTGGCCATCGATGGTTTTGTCATCCTCTCTTGTTCGAATCCGAGCTGTAACACCACGCCATTATTTGAAAGAAATTATCTACGAGGGTCGAATCCCTAGGTCATCTTGTAGCATTACCAACCCGTTCTAAGGCTACAAGAGGTAAAACCAATTATCTCATACTCTCCCTCTTTTGAAATGGATTTAGTGATTTAGGCACAGTTCTTTCTTTTGTTATTTTATAATTTATTTTGCTTTGTTTAGTCTTTTATCTTGCTTCAGAGTTCAAATTCGAGAATAGTTGTGTTTTTCGGCGTTTGGGTGGGGTGGGGTGGGATGGGGTGGGGGGTAGATATGCTCTCTTAAGACGTTTGACCAGATAACCGAGTCCTACGGTGGGGTCCTAATAGAAAAGGGTTTGGGTTTGCTACCCTTTTGCTCAGGCCCTTATGTCCAAAAGGGGTTGGTTTAGAAGTGAAGGGAAGCGCCATCGTAGCCAAAGAGCATACATTCTCAGTTCCCATTTGAATCCAAAACAAAAAGGGAATTTCGGCATTCACAATGACAAGAGAGAGGGATGCTTCCCTCAACTTACCCAGAATGGTCTCGACCTAGCCATGGTATGGAGTCACTAATTTCTAAAATATTTCACAAATCCAATTTCAGGAGGCCCATCACTTCGGGTTAGTTGTTTTGATGGGTTGTGATTCCTTCTGGYTAGCCATGAAGTGAACTGCCGGTATTTTCCCAACGTTCACAATGATGTACAATATTAAAGACAATTTTACATCAGTTCATTAAAACACTTGTTGCATTTGCATGGTTGGAATGCAATTTTATTTGCACTAGTACAAATGTATGGTAGTGCAAATAAAAAATGCAAATTCTCGTTTAGTTTTGTTTTGTATTTACTTCATTCTGTTTCATGTCTTAATTTACTTCATCTGTACTGCAATCAAACAAAATAAGCTAAAATGTAAAACAAAAATAGGTTAGAATTTACACTCAAATCATTTGTAATGCAATAGTTTTGCATTAGTACAAATTTATTTGTATTGCAACAAAGCCTCAAAGAAGATATGCTTTCATTGGGGATTGCAAGGAACTGCTGCCACCACAGTCACGCACCCGTAGCAGATGTGCTTTCAGTCCATTCATATATGACCCAATCATAAATAAATTGAACTCAGGCTGCAGTGCTATGGATAAGATTCGAATTTCAATTTGGAAAAACGGATACATATTTGAATCCCTACCTTAGAGAAGTTTAGCAGAAAACAGTTTCTAACCAACCACACATGAACTTTGTTATCCTGTTTCTGTAACTCTCTTCCCAGAAACACAAAAGTTCAAATAAACACACTGTATGGAAAGATTATTGCTTATATTGTTATTTAAAAGAAAATAGTGGTACATGCATTTCACTTCTGCTATCTAGTCTTGAAAGGCTTATAAGTCTTCAGATCTGCAGCAAGCCCCTGAACAGATCCAACTGCAGCAACAATTGACACAACCAAGCAGGCGAAGCTCAACATTTTGAGCCATGTCCATGTAAAGGAAAATCTGGGTATCCTGGACTGTGCAATGTATATCTCTATGGGGAAGTATACACTCAATGGCCAGTAAGAGAATGCTCCAATCAGGCCCAGAAAGTCGTTGAAGAATGGGAATATCATCGCAACTATTGCTGTTGCTATCACATACACCGTTCTCCATACCAGTCGGAAGAAGTTAATATGGTATGTGCCATGTAAAGGAATATTAACAGGATGTTCTTTAGTTATGAATCCATTATCCGGCCAATGGTTTCTGCAGAAGTTTTCTACATACGCGAACAAGATTTGTGAAAGAAGCTGCATGTGGTTGATAAGCCAAGTTAAATCATGAATGAATGTAGAGCTGATCAAATTTAAAGGCTATTACCTAAGGTCGGATGGACTGGATACAAACCTAACCCTTTGTTTTTTTTTTTTTTCTTTTTCTTTCTATATACATAGTGGCTATTCTCAGACTTGAACCCATGTTTTAGCTGTCCACGTTCAATAGTCTCTGTTTTGTACAGGAGTAAACAGCAAGATTTTTCCATGTTTTCAAGTTTGACAGTCCAAGATTTTACCATTTTAGAGMAAACTAATTCAGGGGGGATATCAGTAAGAACCAGACAGCAAATTAAATCACATTTCAACCCCGAGAAAGAATGTTTTTTTTTTCTTTTTTTCTAGGGTAAATTGCTAAAACCTCCTCTGAAGTTTGATCATTGCTGAAGCCTCCCTAGAAGTTTGGTAATTGCAATCACCTCTCCTAAACTACTGAAACAGTTGCAAATTGATACCTTATGTTAGAACATAGAATCTTCCAACAATAGGCATGAAAATGCCCAAAATACCCATACAGTTACTCAGTTACTATTAAGGCTGGTTTCTATGAAAAAGGTGGTACAAATTTTATGAACAACCAAAAAACAGAATTTTAAGTTGCAGCTTTACCTGAGTGATTGATATGAAGGGGAAATTTAAAAAATAAATCAAATTTGTAGAAGARATTGGAAGGGCTTCAGGTAGCGACTGATTGATAGAAGAGAAAACTTAAAAAATAAATATTTTGGTAAAAGTAATTACATGGGTATTTTGAATTTTTTCATGCTTCTTGTTAGARGATTTTAAGAGAATGGATCTACTTACAACTGTGTTAGAAAGTTTAGGAGAAGTGATTGAAATTACCAAAAATTAGAGGATGTTTCAGCAAATGGTTAGAAACTTTATAGGAGGTTTCATCAATTTACCCTTTTTATTTAAGGGAAAGGAATCTTTACTTTTAATGCACGTTAAATCATTTGGAAAAATTTTCCACTTGGGCTATGCTTGTTTAAGGTGTAAATTCAATTTTACACAGATAAAATATGAACTGGTTCAGTTATTGATGGAAATTGAAACTGGTTGCTTTTGAATATTTATATCAATCGTGTTTGATTGTTTAAGGTGTAAATTTTGATGATTTTTTTTTTCGGAATTTGGAATACACGTCAGTGTAAATATAGCCTATAGCCTATAACCTGGTACAATATGTAGCTTTAGCTTATAGTCGATAGCTTGTAGCTTTAGTCTACTACAACCAACCTGTAGCTTGTAGCAGATACATCATTGCTCACCGGCTCTTTACTCCATGCTTCTCTTCACAATTTGCTCTACTACAACACCAAATGAGAGAGAGTGAGAGAGAGAGAGTAACGGAACGAAGAACCACTGGAGATAATGGTGGAGGAGTACAGGATGAGATAGGAGGACGTGAAGGCTGCCAGGGCAGAGGCGTCTAAGAGGTCGTTGGGGCAGCAAGGAGGAGGTGTGACCCACCCATGCTGCGTTTTACCCTTCTCTCCGACAACCATTTCTGCCGGGGGATTTATTTTAGTGGCTGCCATCACTTACTTCACCTTGCATGCTAAAAAGAAGCCTGAAGCTTTCCCTTGTCGATGTGGCCAACATCGCCACTGGGAAGGCCGACTTTGCCACCACCCAAGTGAGAGAGAGATCTGAGAATGGTGCCGACAAGAGTGAAACCACGAGCAAGATGGAGGTTGTTGAGACGGAGCAGACAGAGAAATGGAGAAGAGAGACGTTAGAGTAAAAAGAAATTTACTTCGATGGTAGAAAAGGTAAATTTTACATCGATAATTTTGATGTATTTTTTACATCTAGGTGTAAAAATATTTTAAAATGGAATATGACACTGATTTATGATGTAAATATACACTCTATCCAAATCCTTGCAAAATTGAACCAGGGTGTATAATTTACCCTGATTTGATTTTACACATCAAACAAACACGGCGTTGGAAAAAGTTATGGTACATTGGTCCTCTCTAAAAGCCAGGTTATATTGAAAGTCATGAGACCAAATTGCCTAATTAATAAGTAGATCAAAGAGCCAATAGACAAAAGACAAAAAAAAAATGAAAAAGACAAGGGTGGGGTGGCAAAACTTGAGTCCAAAGACATTTACATTTTAGATTTGGAGCATGATGGAGGGTGATTTGGCCCAACCTCATAATAAGAGAACACGTGGACATGACTCGACATAAGTGATAGCTCAGTATAATGAGTTCAGTACAGCTCAGTGTAACGAAGCTCACTAACCTAGTCTGACAGCCCGCCTAAAGTGGCAGCTCGCTATAAGATGATACTTCATTGCCTCGAGCTAAGACTCCCCAAAGTAAGAAGCACCTCGAGCTAAGATTCTCCAAATAGGGAGAATCCCGAACTGAAGGCACTTCGGGTTAACTTCATCAACTCCCTAGCATAAGCTCGCTCCTGCCTAAGGCTACCTCAGGGACCCACCTCGGAGAAGCACCTCAGCGCATCACCAGTAGCTCGGTATAAGGTAGCTCGCTGCAGAGCAGCTCGGTGTAAGGTAGTTCGTTGCAGAGCAATTCGGCGTATCGTAGAAGATTTTCTGTCTGACAAACATACCTTCCAAACCTGGAGACTGCACCCACGTCTCTCATCTGGCGGCGTCGTGCCTGCCAACCTTGGAGGCTGTCAGAATCGTACTCTGCAGCGGTCACCTTTGCCCGACAGCTCATCTCTGACAAATAATGGCCAGCCACTCCAACCCGTAATTTGACAGCAGATCGCCGCAATAGAGATTTGGAGGCGGTTACACACAAGTCAGAATACCAGTATCTAAAGACCCCGACCCCCAGGGGTGAAGGTATTGCGTGATCAACACTCTTAGCTCTTTAATTTCTCTACAACTCTCTCTCTCTCCTTTGCTCTCCCAGCTTACTAACTTAAGCATCGGAGTGTTCCCGCCGGGTGAGCCCCCAGGATCCTTCATCTTCTTCCTTACATTTGTCTCTCGTCCGTCGCTAGTTAGGAGTGCAACCACTTCCAGCTAGGAGTGACCAGATCGCGCACCATCAATTGGCTTCGTCTGTGGGAAATGCTTCGAAAAGCCTTCTTCCACCAAATCTTTCAAGTTCAGTTTCCATGGCTTCCTCCAGCAATGCCGGATGCAGTGCGGACATGAATGCCTCTAGGGAGCAACCTCAGATCTCGAGGGCGTGCATTGGTTAGTTCACCCTACCACTCTTTGTGGATGGAGTTCCTAATCTGAACGTGCCCCAGATCATGACACCTGGGAACGCTCCACTCCCTTCCACGGCAGGTGCAACCTTCACCGAACCATCTGTTGTTCCCCTGGTGACCGGACAAAACCAACTTGAAGACCTGGTACACTACATGCGAGCTATGCAAGCTCAAATGCAACATCTCTAGCAATTCCAACTGTATCAGCAGCAARTTCTACACCAGGTTTATCAGCATTAGTATCAGCAACAGTTTCCATCGTTGCCTTAGAACCAGCAGCCGATTCCACCTCAGTATCCAGCCACACAACAAGCTAAGCCTTGCTGTCAGAATGAACACCCCCTTCGCCGGGGAGAGACCTCCCGAATCCAGAACCCTCTTGGGAGTCGGGTCTCGTTCCGTGGAAGAAGAGAGAGACGGGCTACTCCCCCCACCTCGCAGCATGTGAATAGATCGGGGGATTCTCAACCTGCCAGACCCGCCTCACCTCGGCTTTCAGAGTTCGAGATCCCGCTCGTAGAAAATCGGTTCGAGGTCCTAGCCGTGGACTCCAGACAAAGTCCCTCGATCCACAGCCATCGCCAGCAGTCTGAGCCACTCCCCGCGAGAACGGTGCCTGACAACACAGAGGCCAACAACACCAATGCAGAGTTGACCAAGAAGCAACGGATATGCTGTAGAGCTCGCCGAGCTACAGCCCAGAACTTGCCCGAACTGCCACCACTCCTCAAAGGAAAGGAAGAGGCAAGCTTGAGAGCAGTGAAAGCCACTTCGCTCCTCTATGTGCCATCCCCCTTGTCTCCCGAACTCCTGGCCGTCCCGATGCCCAAAGATTTCAAGGTACCTCCCCTGGACAAGTATGATGGATCATTCGATCCGAATGATCATGTAGATTCTTTTCAATCACAGATGCACTTAGCCGGGGTAGGTGAGTCTTGCATGTGTGTACCTTTCTCCACTACATTTAAGGGGGTAGCTCACACATGGTATAGAAACCTCGCCCCTGGGACAATCAAGAGTTGGGCGCATTTCGTGCAAATCTTCGCCTCACACTTTCATCACCAGCAAGAGGTGTTCGAGGTCCCAAGAAAGCCTTCTCGGCATAGTCCAGAGGGAAGGGGAATCTATCCATAGCTACATCAAGAGGTTCAATGATGCATGTCTGCAGATACCTGATCTAGACCCCGCAATGAGGCTCACAACAACCAAAAGAGGCATAATGCACAAAGAGTTTAAGTGGCATGTGGTGGCCAACAAGCCCAAGGATGTGACCCAATTCCTCAAGCTCACGGACCAGTTCATTGGAACAGAGGAGGAGATGAACCAGAAGAATGAGAACCCACCGGAGAAGAGGAAAAGAGAAGGTGAGACCTCAACCAACGGGAACAACAAGAGGAAGAAAGAACCAACTCGGGGAGGAAAGCCAAACCATTCTTTTTGAGCTCCTCCAGCTGAAAGGACGAACTACATGCCCTTGAACGCAAAGCGAGCAGAGATCCTCATGGTGATCAAGGACGCGTCTTATGTGAAGTGGCCACATCAGATGAGAGGAGACCCGAATACAAGAAATAAAAATTTGTATTGTCATTTTCAWAGAGATCATGGTCATAGCACTGAAAATTGTAAAAACCTCTACGATGAGATAGAAGAACTCATCCGTCGCGGGTATTTAAGAAATTTTATACAAAGTGATAATAAAACAGGATGGCAAGGGGAGCAAGGAAGAGACGATCCCGAGCCTAGCAATAGGGAGAATGAGCAGCCACAGA